TGCTGACATACCTTATTTCTAGAGAAAAGAGAACATATTGTTAAACATTATCTGTATACTTAGACAAAGCCAATGTCAATCTCTGATTTTATGTTCTTCTGAAAGGAATGATTGATAGTATTACTAAAAAAAAACCCTGAAGTTAAGTAATTATATGAAGCAACCACTTCTTATAGGTACTTTAAAATAAATTATATAAAGCATTTTAAGTTAGTTTTGAAATGTAAATTTGTAAATATAGACAAAAGTATTCAAAAATCCATTTGAAGTTATGCGTAGTCTTCAACATTTCTTACTTAGTAGGTGCTCAGTCAGTATGTATGAAGGGCTCTCCACGATAGCTAGACACTTGAGAGAATAATCTGGACTATTTATAAAAAGTTTTGAAATAGTCGCATAGGTCAGGCAAATAGTTTTTGCTTGAATTATCTGAACACTCTTACTCTTTCTTCAAACTTCTTTTTATGCTTAAGATACAGACAACACCGCACAAGTAAAAAAAGAACATTCTGCTATGATGACGTGACAATGAAAGGTAATAGTTATGAGTAGTAGTTTCCTAGGATGGAAATAAAAATCTGCTCAAAGGACCACTTGACGGACTTTTGCAACTAAATTTGCTAACAGATGAGACCTAAAGCTCCATTTTACCTGTCTTGGAGCGTTCCCACTTTGAGAGACTGACAAATTTTAGATTATCTCATGTAGAGATAAATAAACTATTTGAAGGTCCCATTTAATGATTAAGCTTTTCTCTGCTTACTCAGGTGCAAGAATATGTGATAACTAGAACTGGTTTTTATTCAATCAATTGTACAATTGATAGATTTTCCAGCAGCTCTAGCCTACGTTTATTCTGAAAAAATAGCAGTTTAGCTAATTTTGAGTCCAAAGTTCATAGAAGGCCAATTCTTAACTGTGGGTAGTCTCTATGACATTGTTAACTTTTAATAAGTCTGTCAATCTAAATGCAGTGAGTAGTCTTTTCTAAGAAAATATGTGGTTTTGTGAGCTAAATCAAAACTGGCTGGTCTTCACTGTGCATGCTGTGCCTTCCTATATAGTACATGCTAGGATTTATTACTGAAGGACGTGTTGAGGGGAAGAATGCTAGTATAGGGGAAATACTGCTTTTCTAACTTGATTTTTTTAAAATGTTTTAATTCCTTTCCATTTCAGCATTGCTATTTTCATTCGGTATCGTATATATTTGAACATTTTTTTCACACCACATCCATTTCTATTTATTAATCTGTAGTTAATTCCTCTAGTTTTCACGTTTAAATTTATGGATTTAATTGTTAAAAGAATGTTTTTTTTTTTCAAAATAACGATCATGCAATTTGTGTGTGTGTGTTGCAAAGAGGGTGTTCTAGTTTTTAAATACTTCTTAACCCTTTTGTTACAAACTTTTTATTTTAATATTCTGATGGCATATGTTTTCGGTATTGGAGTGCATGTTTACTAATTGAGTGTGTTTAAATTTTTAGTTGGTAATATGGATTTTGAGAAAGATCATCGGGTAATACAATCCACCAACGAGGTAGTGGCACTGTGGTGCCACCAGTGTGTGGTGTGACAGTATACCAATGGAAACTAGATACATAGTTTATTGTGGGCACCTTTCCATTAGGTCACCTGGGGAACCTTTGGTTTTCCAAATACGATGCAGAAAAACCCAAACAAACCCATCAGGGCTCCCTAACTATCATACAGGAAAGCTGTAATCATACTTGTAAGCTTTATCTCACAGAAATAAAGGGGAAAAAGGCAAATATTTACAAAACTAACACATCCAGCAAGCATCACCTAGTAGAATGCCCAACCTACACAACAGTGAGGCTCCAACTCCAGTCTGCTGAGCTTCGTGCGTTTCAAATGGGACCCACCTTGACACTAAATGCATTAGAACGGGAATAATGTGCTACCTCTGAGGTCCAGAGGCATAACGAGTGGCTGGTATACCATTATACAGCTTCCTCCCAGACCTCCTTTTATCAGCTTTACCTTTATCCTCTAGTCCAGAAATACCTGCTCTCATCAATTCCCATTCTGGAGGGCAAGTGGGATTGATTTTCAGTTTTCCCCACTGCTGCTTTGGGTTTTGGAGCCCTGGTGGCGCAGTGGTTAAGAGCTTGGCTGCAAACCAAAAGGCTGGCTGTTCAAATCCACCAGCCGCTCCTTGGAAACCCTATGGGGCAGTTCTACTCTGTCCTATAGGGTCGCTATGAGTTGGAATTGACTTGATGTCAATGGGTTTATGGGCTTTGGGTTTAACTTTCTCATGTTTTCTGAATCAGTTACTGTTCATCTGCTTAAGACGTTCTGGAGGGGTCTTGGTTGGGAGCTTTGGGAGCTTGGAAGCAACAGCTGGAGCCCCAGGTGCAGGAAGGGTGGGCTGAGCAACACTGAGGAAGGAGAGCCTCTGGCATAATTGTTGTTGCCTTCATTCCTCTTCTTCCTGTCCTTGAAGGTTTTTACCTTAAAAAAATCCTTTATTCTCTTTTAAAAGTTTATATCCTTCCCAGAGCAAAATATTTTAAAGTAATGTTTTCAAAAAAATGTGATATTTTTAAATTACATCCATTTCTTTGAGATGAAAAGCTTCTTATTTTTTTTAAAACTAGCTCTATTAATGAATTTATGTTTTGGTCCAGGGTTGTAATCTCAAATGTCTGTAGAGGCCAGGCAGGTGTTCTGGCTCCTTGCACTGGGTCAAAACCCTGGACAGGCAGGGGTCAGACACAATCAGTTAAGTTTGGGAGAATCCAAGAGCCATAAAGCTTGTGCCCCATTTCCCATTTGGGAATCTGGGAGGAGATGCTTGACCCAGGCTAACAGGAGAGCTGGGATGACCCTGTGGACAGGTGGAGAGCCAGAGGCCTGGGACAGCTCCCACCTCCCCACCCTGCTGACCCCCAAGGCTTGTACTTGGAGGGACAATTTCAGAAGTTCCTGTGTGTATCTAGTGAGGAACATAGAAAGTAGGTGAGAGAAGCAAGTTGGGGGCTGTTATGGATTGAATTGTGTCCTCCCAAAATGTGTGTCACTTGGCTAGACCATGATTCCCAGTATTGTGTGGCTGTCCACCATTTTGTCATCTGATGTGATTTTCCTGTGTGTTGTAAATCCTATCATTATGTTGTTAATGAGGTGGGATTAAAGACAGTTATGTTAAGGAGGTAGGCCTCAATCTACAAGATTAGATTGTGTCTTGAGTTAATCTCTTTTGAGATATAAAAGAGGGAATCGAGCAGAGAGGAGAGGGACCTCATTGCCACCAAGCAAGAAGAGCCAGGAGCAGAGTGTATTCTTTGGACCCAGGGTCCCTGTGCTGAGAAGCTTCTAGACCGGGGAAGATTGATGACAAGGATCTTCCTCCAGAGCTGACAGAGAGAGGAAGCCTTCTCCTGGAGCTGGCGCCCTGAATTTGGACTTCTAGCCTCCTACACTGTGAGAGAATAAATTTCTGTTTGTTAAAGCCATCCACTTGTGGTATTTCTGTTATAGCAGTGCTGGATAACTAAGACAGGGACATTGCCACAGGGCCACCAGAGTGAGAGGCAAGGTGACCTGAGGCAGAGACTGTGTGGCTGACTGCCTGGGCCAGGGCCCATATGGAGTTCACGTTGGAGATGCAAAGGATCTGAGATGCAAAGGAGCTGAGACATTTGGAGGTGGTGATAGAGATGCCATGTCAAGAAAACAGACCACTCATAGGGCAACATTTGTAGTAACTGTTAAATGGGAGACTATTTTGTCCTGTAAGCCTTCATCTTAAGTGAGAATAACAGCACAATTAGAAGAGCATAGTCAATGTCACTTAAATGTGTATGTAAAAAAAAAAAAATTTTTGAAATGGCGTATCTTTGGCTATGTGTACTTTCACCAAAAAAAAAAAAAGTTGAGAATTTAGAGGGTTAAAATGTTGTGGGGTTGTTAACCAATGTCATAAAACTGCATGTGTGTTACTGTTACATGAGAAACTATCTGTTCTGTAAGCCTTCACCTGAAGTACAATAAAATATTAAAAAAAAAAAAGAAAACAGACCACAAGTGAAATCATGGATTTCAGCAGTCCATACAAGCAGGACCTCCAGAGGCCAGCAGCACCCATCCTTCCTCAGGAGGCCCCCTAAACTTCTCGGCCTGGAGGGACACCCTGAGAAGGAGCAGGAGGCGGTGCTGAACCTGTGAGCACAGAGAAACAGCCCCGGTGGACTTTGAACCTTGAATTTGACTGAATATTCATCTGAAAGAGACACTTAAATTCAGAGATACCATTTTAAAGCAAAAGAAACTGTTTTAATCTGAAAGAAGTTGAATTGCCTTTAACTAGCAATTTTAATTCCCTATCCTCTCCGCAGAAATCAGGGGCTCATGAGAAATTATATATGAGTTATAGAAACTAAAGAAGCCACATTTTAAAAAAAAATATCTGAGTTAGTGTAAATGTCAAGATATGACCGGCCTCTCATTGGAATGCTGACTTTATCTGAATTCACTGAGTGCCACTTGCTTAGGTAGTGTTTAAAATGCTTTATGCATTTATTATGTATGTCACATCCAGTGGTATAATTTTTTAATATGAACTAAAGAAATCCAGGGAATTTCTCCCTGCATGCGCTATAAGAGTTCAAATAGATACAGACAACTGCAGATTGTGTCACAATACAAGATTGCTATTTGGCAGTTACTACAATTGCTGAATTTGTTAAGGAAAGACAATTAGACTTCTAAAAGTATCTTGATGCTTACATGTTTGATGGTCATAGTATCAAGGTAAATTTTGGAGTATAACATACAAAAAATTATTGCTGCAAATGTCATTAAGTTATTGCTAGCCCCAAAGATAAAAAGCGTTGTGAAACGTAATTAAATGCATGTTTTCGTCACACAGCAGCCATTTGTTTCCCATTCCCATTCCTCAACACACAATAAGATAACCACTGAAAAGCTTCGGCTTTAGATTTGGGGGCTACAATTTGCTATACTCCTGGCCAAATCCATTAACGTCTTACTGTGTGAACGCGTGTGGGTGAGTGCGTGCGAGCCCCTCTGTCTAAGACTTAAGCTTTGGGATAAAGGGTGACTGTGTCGTAGCCCTCGGGGGGCCTGGAGCGGGCTCGCGCGTGAGCTTCGCAGTACAGCTCTCCCTCCACGAAGAAGTAGCCCTTCTGTTTGAGGTTGAGGTTGCAGTCCGCACACACGAAGCACTCCGGGTGCCGGTACTTGTCCCGTGCCTTCACCACAGCACCACTGTTGGGGAACATGAGGTCAAGTAAAAACCACAAAACCAAAACCAATAGGAAACGGAGGGAGAAAACATTACAGATAAGGCAGAGGTTGCCTGTTTTGCATTTGGGAAGCAATGGCCTCCAGCTGTGGAGCTCTGTGTCATTGTCGGGGAAATCCAAGATCACCGTCATAAACCATCTCGTGTGTCTCTCTGATGTTTATGTATGGGTACTTCTCAGACTTTTAAACAAGTAGTTGATAAGGACGAATTGTAGACTCCTACTTCATGAGCATTCTCCATAGTTTCTTTGAAAGAGGGAGACACGATAGGGAGAAGACAAACACCTCTGTGAAGGGTCCTGATTTTGACCAAGATTGTTGTCTACACAACTAGATTGTTTGTCTTTTGGTGGTCCAGGATCTCTTCTGTGGAACACAGAGAGAACAGATCAAAGAGCAGAGATGGAATTCTGCGGGATGGGAGGAATTGCCTCTACTGTCAAAACCATTTACTCCAGCTTAGAAGCAATAATTGCTTTGGTAACATCATAAACGATCGTATTTTTACTGGGGCTCTCTCTCCCCCTGAGCTTCCTGCCCTGGTTTTTCCTTTCTGTCCCTCCCACGTTTTTCCTTTGCTCTATCCAGGCTTATCTCCCTCTGCCTTCCTGGGGTGTGTATCTTGGCTAATTGCACAGATGGCGCCTCAGTGTGTGAGCTAATGTGGAGAAAGAGAATACACGGATGGCAGCAGTGGCCATGTAGGACGGACGCCATGCAGAGGTTAGAGTTACCTGGTTCGCTTGAAGATTTGAACTAGCAGAGCAAGTGTGGCCATTTAAACGTAAAGTCTCTTGAAATGGGAGTTGACTGTATTTTTAAAATATATGTTAACATTTGTGTAACTTAAGAAACTGGGTAAAGATAATGTGTTTTCATTAACAACCTGACAACTCCTGTCTTTGTTTTTTGGGGTTTATACAGAAAAGGAAGTATTCAAAGACTGTACACCAACAAAGGAAGGGCTTTCTGAAGTGAAAGTTCTGATTCTTGAAACTGATTTTTAAAATGCTTTTGGGTCATTTTTTTTTTCCATGAGAGTATATCTGAAACTCTAAGTCAAGATTGTTGTGGCACATTACATACCCATTTTAGAGTACATCTAAGGAATGCTGGTTCCTTACATATGCTAAATGTTATGGAAATCAAATGATATATTTAAGCTTTTCATAATTGTCTTTTACATGTAAGGTCTTAAAGTATAAGAACTAGAGAACTGGCTCCAAGTTTTACAGTGAATTCCTGGGTTAAGATGACACTCACACAATGCCACTGCCACATTTGTCACAGAATGGCATCTTCTGCGCGCCTCCAGCACCGCTGTGAGCCTTTGTAACTGGAGCTCTCACACTCCGCGTTCCAGCAGGACGGTCCTCTGAAAAACAAAGCCTTTCCATTTATGGCCAGGGAACAGCTGGCTATAGTTTGTACTTTGTTTCTATTTTAAGGTGTGCACTTTAACCTAAAAGAATTCTTAAGTTGCGCCTGCACTACCATTTCAGAAGGAACAGGGTCGATTCAAGCATAAGAGACTTTGCTCTGAATAGAGCGTCTTGCAGAAAGGAATTAGTTAGAACATTTGTTGTTGTTGTTGGAGGGAGCTGGTACAAAATGCTCAAGGGAGCAGTGAACGCTTTGTATTTTTGTGCAGTGTTGAAAGTACAGTATATGTCTCTTGGGGGTGGAAAAGCACTGGATCCGGAGGACAGCGGCAGTGGGCTGGAGACCCAGTACTACTCTTACTGGCTGTGTGGCCTTGGACAATCCACCCTCTCTATGCCTCCATTTCCCTGTTTGTTATATAGGGAAAATGATAGTTCCTACCTCATTAGGTGCTGTGAGGATTAAATGAGATAACGTGTGCAAAGTGCTTAGCACAGTGTTTGGACCACAGTAGGGTCCACTGTGTCGTTGTTAGGTGCCGTCCAGTTGGCGTCGACTCATGGCGACCTTATGTATAACAGAATGACGGGTTGCCTAGTCCTGTGCCATCTTCACGATTGTTGCTATGTTCGAGTTCAGTTGCTATCTATAATGTCTTCACTGGCTAATCTTCAGAAGTAGATCACTAGGCCTTTCCTCCTAGTCTGTCTTAGTCTGGAAGCTTTGCTGAAAACTGTCCACCATGGGTGACCCTGCTGGTATGGCAGAGCTTCCAGCATCATAGCAACATGCAAGCCACCACAGTACCACAAACTGACAGATGGGAGTTGTTACTATTATTTTTGATTTTAAGGATGATGATAATGATACTCTGTAGTGTAGGGGGAGGGGAAGAAATTTTACAATATCCATTTTTAACTATATGTTATGATTCATAAGCTAAGCTAGCCTTTGACTACTGTGGATGGATTTGGTGTCTCTTACCTCTGGCTTCAGTTAGTGGCTATTGGAGAGCTCCTGGTGGTTCCTTTCCTAAACCACGTACTACCCAAATCCTTCTGAGCAAAGATTCCTTGGATTACTGACTAAAACCAAGTGTTAGACTTTCATTCCCGGTAGTGTCTTTGCTGGCCTCCTCTTCCCACCCCCACCTCCCAGCCTCTACAATGACACAGCAGCAGACATTAACGGCCGCTCACCGGGGTTGACCATTTCCTGGAGCACTCGGAAGGAGCCTGACTGGCGAGGCTGAGCAGGCTCATCCTGGTTGTGGTGGAGCATCCGGTACACATCAGACTGGGGGGGCACTGAGGCCACGGGTTCACTGAAACACACGTGTGGTGGCGGGGCATCGTCAGGAGCAGCGAGAGGCACTGGGTAAGTGTGGTCACTTACCCGTAACATGGGTAAGCGTGGTCACTGCATGTACAGCAACCTAGGACTTTCCAGTTAATTGTTACACTTAAAAATACTATGTGAGTATTCACATGGATTGCCTCGAAAATGTCAGTGAGTAATTGGGAGTCACACAGGCAATTTTCCATTTGGCAAAATACTTTGTAGGGCAACCGAAAGGTGACTGTTAAGAAACGATAATTTTTAAAAATAAGATCTGTGCCTGATGGATATATAGTTACAAATGTGAACAATATTAATTTCTCTCAGAAATAAGGTTACATACACACATTATAGAAAGTGTAGGAGTGAGCCCAATTTGATTATTTTGTCACAATTTTGTCAGTAAAATTCAGATTCATTTTTGATATTAAACTAAAAGTGTATGATTTAATTTTGTTTCTAAGGTTAATTTGATTTGTTGATTCCTGGAAATAACAAAAGTTACTGTTTTCTTTATAAATTGAAAAAATTCAACTTGTCAGTGTTTGACAGCACATAATGTTTAAGCTTTCACACATAAGTCTGTTATACTGACTACATTATATATTTTAAATAGCTACATTGTAGATCATTTACAACAATGATAGCAGCTGTATTTTAATACATGTTCTACAACGGTATTAATGATAAGCAATAACAATGTATCACAATAATACTACCAGTCAGGCACTACGTGATTCATTACCTTATGTCATTTAATGGCATCTAGAAAAGATAGTTGCTATCTGCACATATTTTTATTACTTGTATCATATTGGAAAATAAAAATTTTATATATCTAAAATTCTTTGACAATCGGCTTTGAGGTACATTACACTATCAGCTCAGTGTGTCTGTCCTAAGAGACGTCTTTACTGACCTGTTGTTACACAGCACTCTGAGGCATTACGATACTTTAACTTAAAAAAATGATGCTGTAATAATGAAGGAAGTAATAACATTTTATCCTGTGATAAATCTTTCTAACTAAAAAAGTTTGATGGTAAAATTACCTTGAACAAATATTCATAATAAAGAAGAAATTAGTCAACAGAGGTCAATGGAAATTAAATATCTACATTACTATTGTGAGGTATTCACTTGTAAACCTTTAGCCACAGTAAACATCTTAAATGAAAAAATAATTACCTCTCCACAAGATGTTGTTAGGACAGAGAAGAGGTGTCATCTCTTATAAATCTCTGAACCTTCCATCTCTTCCCAGTTTTTGACCCCACAAAGGTGAGATAATGGGTATACTAGATTATACATCACTTTTGAGAAGTATTATACTGGACACTTGTAAAGTACATTGTAGCTTTCAAAAGACATAGACATTTAGCCCTTACATGATTTCGTTTTATTGCTATCACATAAAGCTCTACTGAGTTAATTCCTCAAGTCTCCTTTATCATCAGGCCTACATATTTGCAAGAAATCGTTAGTATTTTTTCTAAGAAGTTTTTCACATAGTTTTCTTTCCATTAAGCCTTAATGTTAAAAGACACCCGCAAACTCGACATTGCCCACGTGTTTAGTTAATGTGCCCACGGTACAAAAAGACCCGTATTACCTCATCGAGGGTGTTTCCCCTAGAGCTGTCGAAACCTGACCCTGAAGTGTTTCCATAATATTGTCATCTGAGTACAACTGCATAGGTGTATTAAACTGAGCATGGACAATCTTCACACCGGGAAGTTCCATTTCCAAAGGAATGTTAGGGGCCATCTTAGCAGCAACTTTCAAGTCACCTGGGCAAATAGTACTAAGAGGGCTGACGGAAGAGGGGGTGCTACGTCCACTGCCACCATCAATACCGGAGGGAGTGCTGCTTCCACTGTGTTAATGACACGCCACAGAGATGACAGAAGAACCAGAAAGTCCAGACACACAACACAGAGAACAAGTGCAGAGAGGTGAAAATGAGTGCAAGACACGAGAACTGAGAGGTCAACTACATCAAATTAAAACAAAACGATTATTTCTGGCAAGAATTTATTTTAAAAAAGGGAAGAAATTAAGAAAATTCATGATTGATAGGCGATATTGCATTTTTTGGCTCTGTTCTACCGGGCACTATGTATGTTGAGTGTTAAATGCAGAAAGAGTTGTATATAAAGTCAGTAGAAAAAGAGGCAACTATCCTTTCGTTAAAAAAAAATAGGCCAAATAATTTTAAACTTGACACTATCCAGACAAATGATGCTGGGAAATTATATTGACCAGACATCCATTTACTTTTCTGAAGCTGAATATTTAAAATTAAAATATTAATGAATGGTCCTTCACAAATTGTAACTGAATATAAAGCATGAAGATTCAGTCAAATATTTGAGCTAAACTTTTCAAAATAAGAAGTACGTTTCAGTAATGCAGTTGAGCTATAAATGAATAGTAATTGGGAACTAGTAGATTATGTGGTAAAGATTATGTTTTAAGGCAATTTTATAAAAGTTTTATTGCCACTATTTCATTTCTTTCTATTTTAATTCTTTAATTTTGTGAAGAACACAGTTTTAAAAACTGTTCAGCAGTTTAATTCAGACTCTGGGAACAGCCAATAAATGCTTGTCACCTTGAAATAAATGATTAGAGGGTGAATAAGGTGATCTTGACTCTTTAGGACACTATCTGGGGCAAAGCTAAATTTCTTTCAGACATAGTCATTTCACGTAAAAATTTGGAAGCACACATTTATTGCCATGCACATTTTTCATTTCCTTTAAAGGACAAACTGAGGGAGAATTATTAAAACATCAGAAAGGCCAGTCATGCAAATTTAGAAACAATTGGGGAGGTTTCACATTCTCTATGAAACTGGATAGGAGGCCAGTAGACATGCCAACAACAGTAACTCATTTTCCTACGTGCATTTTATGTGTAGCAGGAGAGATGCATTCTACAAGGAAACAGAATCTACTAAGAGATTAAAAAAAGCACAGTCCTTCAAGATAAAACCAAAAAGGTATTAGCATTAATGTAAGCATCTGCCGCGCCTGCCAGCTAGCCTGGCTGTAAAGTCAAGACAGAACAGGTTTCTATAGTGTGTTTACCTCAATGTCAGTGTTCTCTCAGGTCCAAGGGTGGCCCCTTACCTGCACTGACTGTACTCTCTAGGGCTGCTAATGCTAACCTCAGCCCCACAGAGATGGCAAAACCCAAAAGGATTTGGGCAGTGATGAGTTTAACTTCATCACTGTTGTTTCATCAGCCGGATTAGTCTGGACAGCTCGTGTTACTAGATGGATTTTTAAATTTTTTTGTCTTGTGTTAACCGGTTCAACCATCTACACAGCTTAAACTAGGTAAAAATCGACCCACTCCTTCACTTCCTGACTGTTTAGAATCTGTTAGAAACTCAATGTGCAAACTGGTTAGATCACATACAAAAATGTCAGGTGGCCTATTCACCATTTCCACAGCTTTAACACTACAACGACCCCTGAAATCCATTTCACCGGGTGAAAGAATAGAAGTCAATGTTCCGTTGTAGGGCGGTTTAGTCAGGATCCTGTGGTTTTGACCTAAGGGTAAGGAAGCTCATGACACTGTAGTTTAGGATTTTGGAACACTGAGTTACACGTTGGGAGACTTTGGTTCAACAAGTGCTTATTGACCAGTCTGACTGCGCGCGCTGGACGTAGCCCTGGCTTGCGCATTGTCCTAGAGAATTGACCCAAAACCAAGAAGTCACTTTCCTCTCAGTGAGATGCGGTCAGTGCAAATGCAGTCAGCACAGATTATACAAAAATGAAAATTATAGTTCTTTAGAAAGCATTAAAGGCTTATGATTAGGGCTCAAGGCAGGCAGATTGCCACCGGATTACTTATCCGGAACTGTTTATTGATAGGCAAAGTTATGATCAATTTAGAGCTTACATATGTACCTTACTTTATAGTTGTAATTAGAGATTCTTTTTCTGTTAGTGTTCTTGCATACATGCATGTTTGTGTGTATAATTTTATTTAAGCAAAGATTGTGTCTTCTATTTCCTTAGTTCCTTTATCACTCTATTTAGGGCCCAGCGTCTATTGAATATTAGGAAACAGACCCTAAGCAAACAAGAATTACTGTCTACAACTTTCTGGGCTGATTTTAAAATATCTGATGCTTTGCAAAAGTAGTTTTCATGGACTTCGGTCACTGTGGATATTACCGTGAGTCACCATGGCCTCTTCCTGGCAAGCTGTCCTGAGGAGGATGTAGTGACTTGGCAAGATCACCTGTAAGGTTGACAGGAACTCAACCATGTTACCCCTGATAGGTCTTTACACAGGGAACCAATTTCCCTGGGGTGTGTGCAGACATTTTCAGAGATTTCTGGAAATGCCTTGTCCAAAAACCACTCCCAGAATTCCATTTTATCATTTGGATCTATAAAATACCTTGTATATATTTTTAATTATAGCTCTGGTTTTAAAATTTTACTTATTTGCGTACAAAAATACTGACTTTTAATATACGTCAGTTATAATGAAATGATGAAAAGAATCATAGCTAGTAACAAAACTCCAGGGAGATGAACATACTACCAGTCTAGCGTCTCCAACTTCCTTCTGATGAAAGAAAAGAGTAAGTTGTTCATTAATAGTGTGGTTGTAGATGGCATGCAGCCACTCAAAATCCCACCCCGATGAAGAATCATTTGGTGGGAACAAGAAATTCAGAAGCTAGAGCAGTTCGTGAGGGGGCATACGGAAAAGGAAGGGTCATCAAGGGATTTTGAAAATTCTGTCAGATTTGTGTACTGTACTTGTTTTTAATGAAAATCCTCTCACCCCTGTTCCTTCCTTCCCCTCATCCAAACTCAGCCATATGAAGAAGGCACCTTCAAATGATAAAATCATGAGTGGCTTATCATTATCACCCTGTTTAAAATGAAAATTAAAATACAAAAGAAGGGATCTCCCTAACTTGCCCCGAATTTTTATAACATGAAATGTGTTCTAGGTCATTAGCAGAGACATGGGTCCCTCTAATGCATCATTTTATCTTAGCCTTCTGAAGTCACGAGGCTCAAGTTAGTGGACTTAGTCATGCTAACCTGAAAGGAATGCAAGGGTATTAACTTCACAACGCTTCTTTTGGAAATTGTATATTTCTTCAGTAGTATACTTGCATTTTAACTTTTAATCCAGCGTTGTTATGTTATTGGGGATGGGGTGAGTGGAGAAGCTGTTGAGGGTGGAGAAACAGAAGAAGACGTAGAGGGAAACCGAATGGAAGCAAACAAGGAGGAGGAAAAGATTGTGCAGACTTTCGAGAATGAGGGAAGGGTAATAGCTCCTAACTCTTTTTGACACTCACTCAGGAAATACTGGGTACTCGGGATTTTATTCCTGTATTTGATGAGTATTTATTTACTCGCTGTGTTTCTAGGTGCTGAGGGTGTTGAACCAGTCAGACAAGGGCCCTGTGGACACTGAGCTTAGAGTCTAGTGAGGAAGATCTATTTGGTGGTCATTGCCTTCTCAGCGTCTTTCTCCTGCCCTTCTCACCCTTAGAGCTCCTTTCTGGGTTTGATGTTACAGAAATTGTCAGCTGATTTTGAGGCAACCCTCTAGCCCTGACTCTAGCTTATAAAAGGTCTGCACACGGAGACCATATGTGAAGTAGTGGCCATCCACAGGAAGGGTCATACACTCAGATGTCCACAGGGGCCAGGAGGGTCACACATACATGAAAATGGGCCAGGAATAATACATCTAGGAGTGATGGGCATTTTGACAAGCTGGAGACTGCACGTCCCATCTAAGGATTTTAAGATTTTAAACACCGGGATGGTAAAAATAAAGCACACCTGAGAAATTCAATCCACCTAGGACCATCAGGAACCCTGGCTGTGCAGTGGTTAAAGCACTTGGCTGCTAACCAAAAGGTCAGCGGTTCAAACCCATCAGCTACTCCTTGGAAGACAGACGTGGCAGTCTGCTTCTGTGAAGATTACAGCCTTGGAAACCCTATGGTGCAGTTCTACTCTGTCCTGTAGGGTCACTATGAGTCAAATTGACTCGATGGCAGTGGGTTTGGCTTTTGGTTTTGATGGACCGACAGTTTGGGACATCTGATATAGATCATTATTCAGTGTTCCTAACCAGTTAGGAAAGAGCCCTTGTGGTGCAACAGTTAAGTGCTCGGCTGTTAACCAAAAGGTTGGCAGTTCGAACCCACCGAGCAGCTCCACAGGAGAAAAGACCTGATGATCTGCTCCCGTAAAGATTACAGCCAAGAAAACCTCATGGAGCAGTTCTACTCTGTCCCACGAGTTGCTATGAGTTGGAATCAACTCGACAGCAGCCAACAACAACCAGGTAGGATCAATCCAATCTAACCACCAACCTCCTTTCTTTGAGCTGATTGATTTAGCTGCGGTCAGAGGGGTGGGTTTGAGGTTTCCTGAAGTCACTATTTCCTGCTATCAAAATACAAGGCATTACTGTCCTCTCCCTTAGGTTAGAGTTCAATTTCTAGAGTAGACATTCCAAAAGGATCATCTGAAGATGATCCATTTCTCTGATTGACAGACAACAATTAAGAGCTGGCTCATTATTATTCCAGTTTGTACATTGCTATCCTGGGTCATGCAAAAGGGTTAGTCAGCTCGGCTGATAACCAAAAAGTTGGAGGTTTGAGTTCACCCAGAGGTACCTCAGAAGAAAGGCTTGGTAATCTACTTGAGAAAAATCAGCCATTGAAAACCCTATGGGGCACAGTTCTCCTCCGACACCCACGGGGGCGCTGTGAGTCAGAGTAGACTTCACAGCATCTGGTGGGGGTTGTGGTGGACCCAAGAGAGAAACCACGAGACCTCACTTCTTCCTTACTCTTTCTTTATCCTGCTTTTCCTCCAAGGGAAAACATTCTCCTCCAAGTGGCCTTTCTGCTTTTGAAAATTTAGTTTTATGTAAGAGCTAGAATTAGTGGGATTTCCCAGTGGGCTCTGAGGTGCAATGAGCGGCAAGTGCTGAGGTGGGAGGATGGGAAGAACAGGAAAACCACCCAGCTTTCCCACGTAGTCGCCACCTGCTTCCCCTCTCCTGACCAGGGGCTGGTGTCCGCTTTCCTTCCTGCTGGCTGGCTTTCCTGACCTGGTACGGTGCCTGTCCACCTGCCTCAAAGTTCACTGTGTTCCGAATGGGATCCCTGGAGCAGCAGGGGTACTAATTATAAATACCCGCAGTGATTGCACAAAATCCCACAGCTCTATAATCTTGTCAGCGTTTACTCTTGGAAATGGAGGTTATCTGACATCCGTTCTCTCCGCTAAGCGAGTTTGTTTCTTTTGCTTTTGAACTACGTTTCAAAATGAGCAAAGTCACTCCAAACACCTCAAAGTTACTTTGTGTGGTGATTAGTAAGGATTTAATGAAAGAAGCATGCACTCCAAACTTCGCAATCTCAGAGTTTATGACCTGCTTCGGCCTGGGATTGTGAAAGGTTTGGGCCGAACATTGTGCTTGTGTTCAAAGTAGTTCACATCCTGTAAAAATAAAGAGTTAGAAACGTCCCTCAGTGGAAAATCAATATGCTTTTTTAGATAAAATTAAATGAATGGTAATTTTACAGAGAGAATTTTTTTACCACCAAATATTCATGTGACTAAGAAGGGTGATGGAACCAGGGCAGTTTCTTCTTTTTAAACATCTATTCACTAAATGTTCAGGAACTGGCTGATCGGGCTGGAGAACATTAGAACCATGTTCTAGATGCTTGTCTTGAGAATAAAAATCTGATAGTGCCTCCAGGAAAGTAAAAATGAAACAGCAAGAGCTGGACTTTTGAAAGGAAAAGAAACCATACTATCTCTGTTAAGAACATTGTGACCGTAAGCTGAAAGGCGAGTACTTACTTTTGAGGTGAGCTAGGAATGAGACCCCGCAGCTGTCCGTGAAGTGCATCTTGTATATTGCTAGTTGAATAGAGCCCAATTGGTGAGTTATAGGAAGCGCTCACTACCTGTCTTTTGTCGTCAATGTTTGCTGCTGCAACAAAAGGTTGGGCCCTTCTGTTGTGTGCGGTACCAATGGGTTTGAATTCCTGTACAATGGCAGACAAAATACACAGAGCCACAGAGTGCGCAACAAAGCCGTTAATGAGCAGAACTAACAGCATTGCTATTGTTAATAAAGGCATCATGACCCACTAGGAGATGAATTACCTGCTTAGAGAAGGAGTTGGGCATAAACCTATGATTATTCTGCAAAATGTACATGTGCCATATTTATCTACCAAATGTTAAGGTACAAAGGCTGTTGTTGCTAGGTATCGTCGAGTCGGTTCCGACTCATAGTGACTCTGTACAACAGAACGAACCACTGCCAGGTCCTGCACTGTCCTCACCATCGTTGTTATGCCTGAGCCCATTGTTGCAGCCACTGTGTCAATCCATCTGGTTGAGGGTCTTCCTCGTTTTCGTTGACCCTCTACTTTACCAAGATGCAAAGGAAATGACGTTATTCAAAATATTGCAAAACAATTCAAACATTGTATCTCCTGTCTTCTCCCTGTTGACTTCTACATCGAGAACTTTTAAGAAATTCCAGTGTGACTCATTAGAATACAGAGATTTTGTGTCAGAAATGAGATTTTGGTTTATGAAAAAATTACACTTATTTTCTCAAGTAGAACTTATACCTGCTTCCTCTTCTTTCATTAATATCTTGATAAAATTGCCCCAATTTTAAGAAATGGGGGAATAAAACATAGGCAGTAAAAGAATGAGCTTTTATGAATAACCATACTGGATCATTTTAACAATCCAAGTAAAAATTCTGTTGTGGCTTTATACCTGTAACAGCACAAACAACAAAAATGCTTAATTTGGAACAAGTTATAACTTTTCTTAGAAAAAAAAACGACAAGAATTAAGACTGTTTTTCCTTAGGAAAGTAGGAATAACATTTATAGAAAACCTGTTTTTTAATGTGATGATTTCATGTGTGATTAAAGAACTCTTTATGTTTACTCTAGTCCCAGAAAGGCTAAAGTCAGTACTTCAGAGACAGCTAACATAATGATTCCACCAAAGGATTTTCGTTTTATTGCTTTTGGGGGAAAGGACCAAACATCAAAGTTCTAAACTCCCAGTCTAAAACATGCCTGAATGATCTGAAATCCTATAATTATTATGTTCTCCAGTTTTTATGTAGATTTATAAGTTTTGTAAAGCCATTAAAAATTTTTTTTTCTTCTGAACAACAGAAGAAAACCAAAGAGGAATGCTAAAATACATGAGCCAGTTCTCTTTCTGAATCTTTCCATGTGGCAGAATTAATAAGATAAATCTTTATAAAAATATTTTCACTCACACATTCACATCAACTTCACTTACTTTTGTAAATGTGCCATGAATGTCTCACACAGATTTCAAATTATGAATTTATAATTATTTGAAATGTTTCTGGAAAGAAATCATTTTTATTTAAAAAAATGAAAAGATAGTATTCTTGTTCATGTCACTACCGACGAGGAAGTTGTGAGATGGTACTTTTCTGTTTCCCTTCCTTAGCCTCGGAACTAGAGTTTCACACTAGCAAACACCAACAATTTCCTGCTGGACCCCAAGCTGCAGAATGCTTTTTTCTTTTTTTGGTTCCCTTGATCAGGCACTCATTTCTTTCTCCCCAGCAAGGCCTTCTGGCAAAGCATACGTTTTTGGAAGGAAAATGGCTATAACAAGGCAGAAGGGGGTGCAGCCTCAAATGCTGGCCTACTTAGTCTTTAACTCTTGCTGCCCCAAAGCTCATGACACCTGAATATTCGTGATGTGGTAAAGAACAGTTTTTTGCTCATCAACATTTGACAGCATATTTTAACAGCCTCCTGAACTTGAAGGTCTAAGTTAAATAAAACTTAGCCTGTGATTCTATAGGGATTGAATTGACTGAAATTTCATTGATGCTCTTTTTTTCCTCCATAAAAATGGCTCTCTGCCAAGGAGTTGGCTGAGTGACTACATAGCTGCTGCTGTTACATAGCAAAGTGTCTAAAACAACCAAACGTGGCTTTAGAAAAATGCTGAGTCCCAGAACATGTGACAATGGATGGAGTCAAACATTTATAAAGAGCTACAATCTGATTGTTTTAGTTGATTAAATACTGAAGTTGGATTGACTGTATTTTATGATTAACCATTGTGATTGGCCATTATTATGGCATAAAAAAGTGAACTGGAAATTATTGTAAGTAATAACAATGGCCATGACCTAAGCCATCATTAGTATTTTTGATGTGAAGGAAGATAGAAGGCTAATTGCATTATAATTTAGCTTTGGTGGATTATAAATCCTCAGGCTAATTAAAAGAGTGAATCAGGCAGGACCGAATGCCTCAAGTCTGTGGAACATAGCTTTTCTGTTTTTTTTAAACAAATTATGTCCTGCCTTAAAGATCTTGGTAAATAGAATTTAATTTACAAAAATTGGTTAACATAAAATGACTTCACTGGGAAAAAAATTGCTACTCTTATTTCTTCTCAGCCTTAAAATGACAAATAAACATGGATGATGATGGCCATGTAAATGGGGCAACTTCCCTGAAAACAGTATTTACCCGCTGATGATCCCTCGTAGTACCCCTAGATAGCAGCACGTAAGTTAATTGGCTCCAAGCTTTTTCTTTTCCATTTTCCATTTTGGCTATATATTGCAAAGGTGACAAACGTGTAATTTGTTTTAAAAAAAAAAAACCTCTCTATTTTTCACTCAGATCATAAAGCTATTTCTAATGCAGGCTAGAAACATTTGTATTTAGGCTTTGCAAAGCATTAGTTCATGGGCTGCTACAGTCATTCCAAACAGCACGAGGAAGTGTGTGCATGAGAGGTAAACAGGAGATTTAAGCCCTGCACTGAGCGGCAACATTGTATCCAAATCTTACATCACTGTTGATGGTCTAACATCATCAAAGGACAAAACCGATTAGAAGCCTGCTGTTCCACTTTAAATCCTTTTTATTTTTCCTGGAAAATCATGAGCTACACAAAATACAGTAAAAAATTTATATTGCAGTTAATATAGTCCGGCTCTTGTGTTTATCCTATCCAGACAAAACCATACCAATTATTCTTATCTTTTAGGAATTCAATAAGTAATCATTCCAATTAACTAATGCATCTTGAAATATAATGTTTAAACCTTTGGAGCTTATATTAAAGGGCATATTTTATTTTGGATTAATAAAATGCTAGAGCTGCCAGAGTGAAGTCTAGATAATTCGACAGAGCTCTGCTGACACTGGGGAAAAGCAGCTTTTGACAACAGCCTCCCAAGTCCTTGGAATGACCTCAGCAATGATAGCATTCAAAGATGGTTCATCTTTCGATTTCGTACTTGGAGAAGTCCACAGATGATAAATTCAGTCCAAGGACTGAGGCCATTTCCAGATCAAAGAGAAATAGCACATTTGATTCACACATGTAGACACTTAGAAGAAAAAAATGTCAGGGGAATGAGGGAAACAAACTATACCAAGCAATCAACTATTTGATCAAACCGCACTGAGGAAATGACTCTATTGAAATGTACTTGGAATTTATGAACAATCACCCCTTCCTCACGCTCACTCCTCACATGGAAAATAAAGTCACCCTTAAACAACCATTTTTTCTTCAGTGATCTGTTTCAAGTGTTTTCCATATTTCACTGTGGAGGAGTTTGGGGAAATGGGAATTATGAAAGCTTGTTCTGTGTAGGCTGCCTTCCAGTTGCCAAAGCATTGTAGATAAAAGTTGTTTTCATGAAAATACTGATGACTTCAATCCACATTCCATTTGACTGTGCGTGGAGGTACATCTTTACTATCAAATCTTCTATGTCAAGATTCCTTCATGTGGAAAAGCTTTTTTCTTGTTTAGAAAAGAACCATTTTTGTTTCTGAAAAGCATCTGTCCAGTATTGTGATAACTACATGATACCTTTGAGTCCCTTGCCTAACTTTAAACAAAGCTGAGGTTATGTTTTATTGAGGAATGCAAGCTTTGAAGAAGGGCAGAGAACTCTCCCGCTCTGCCTTTACTTTAGACTAGAGCGAGGCTTTGGATAGAAAATGAGTGCACCTGCCCACAGGCCACGCTCAGAATTCCACGGAGGAAGGTTTTAAACGTCTGGGCATTGATCAAACAACCTCTATGGTTCTTTTCAAGCCTAAGAGTCAAGTCAGAATTAGTAAAAACAAATTTTAACTATTTAATGACAGCCTGGAAAAGTGAAAAATTAAAATTTTGTATACTGTATATTATTACTATGACTGGGCAAGGAAAATGCCCCAAAGCCTTTCCAAAGAGAAAAAGACTGAAAGACATATACTAACATTTTATTATTTGTGGCTGGGCTTGGATGATTAGGATATAGTGTTTTTTCATCAACAACTAAATATTCCTTTTAAAATGAAAAAGTATTTTATTCCAGTAGCAAAGGTAAGATAACTTACAATAAAATTTTGACTTAGATTAAGATATAAGAATTCAAGTAGTATATTGCTCAACGGCATTTTACTATTAGTCTTCAGTGGTATCTTTAGCATGATGTATTAATGGTGTTAGTTTCAGTGACTGACACACCTGTGTTGTGCAGAAGATCGCTTAATTTGCAAAGTTCCTACTTTGAAAACAAAAAGACATCTCTTTGTATGGCTTTGTATTAATTCAAGAAAATAAACAGGCATACATACAGAACTATAGCTTCGTGTTTCTCCAATCTCAGTCCACAAGTTAAAATTCACTGTTTGATTTGTATCACCTCATTATGTCCTAGTTTATGCTGTAGGGTTTTCAGATAGCAGAGGCTGCGCTGAAATTTAGCTGTTTTGTGGAGGGAATGCTTGTCCTGAGCTGCCACGTTGTATGAACTGGTCATGCAGAAATCTGGCTTGAGAACTTCGTAAGGAGTAGGAATGACTGGTCCTCTGGGGGAAGAGGTGAAGCTGTTCTGACCTCTGAGCCCTTCAAACACTGGCCTCTTGGAGAGAACTTCAGTCAGAATTCGTTGTGACTCAAACTAATGGAATGTTCGAAGGCTCTGTCTGCCTGCCTGCTGTAGCCCTTAACCCTCTCTTCACCTTTTTTTTTTAAACCTATCTTTTTCCTGTTTGTAGTATCGTAAGTATCCATAATGTCTAAGCCAACACACAGAACACAGGGGATAACACATGACTGGCCAGAGAATACAGTATTTAAAATTACAATTATCCTTAAAGATTCAATATGTGGGATAACCATTGTTTTTGTGTGCCATTGAGTTGATCTGACTTACAGCAACCCTGTAGGACAGAGTAGAACTGCTCCATAAGGTTTCCTGGTTGTAACCTTTACGGGAGCAGATCACTAGGTCTTTTCTCCTGCAGAACCGCTGGGTGCGTTTGAACCACCACTCTTTCAGTTAGCAGCCGAGCACTTAACCATTGTGCCACTAGGGCTCCTTGGGATAACTAACCATAGTCATAAATGAATACTTACAGTTTTGCAAAAGAGGCCACTTCTAGAGCTACTACTCAGGGATTGCCCTTAAATTCCAATTCTGGAGACATGTTAGTAAGACACAGATTCTTATCATGGTCCAGCCTCACCCTGTGCTTGATAAATGCTTGCAGAATTCCACTCCGTTTGTCCTGGTGATGGTAAGCAGTTGCATGGTCGATGTATGCATGTATATAAGCCTTACATTTTCTTTTTTTTCAGCACCACTTGGTCACTTTTTCTCATTGTTGCCTCCGAGTGATGAATGGACAAGGGTGGGCTGAAGCAGGTGGGCTTGGGCGTGACTGCAAATGGTGACATTGGAGGGACAGCTCTGCCTCCAGAACTTTTTTTTTCTTCTTTCAATCTTTTCTTCCATCAGAGAAAATGCTAATCTGAGGGGTTACTCTTCACCAGCCCACCAACTGACCAGGGTGAGCTGCCCCACCAGCACCATCAGCCTTCAGATCCCGTCTCACTGCTCGTGTTACCTGCCCCATCCACTGTATCCTTGGCTCACTTCCCCTGAAGAATTAAATTCCTACCTGACCTACACACCCCACTCAGTTTTCAACGTCACTTTTACAATGCACCAGCTGGGGGTGGTGGCAGAACACCATCTGAGAACTGGTTCCCAGGATTGGTCCTGGGCAGTGTTAAAATATGCAGTTTGTCTTTCGGTTCTCTGGTTTCTTTCCGGCCTCTGTCAGCTGTTTATTGAGCAGTTGAGTGCCATGCCCCAGGGGATTCTGGGTGAAGAGAACAACAACAAATGGCTTTCCCCTCACGAATGCTCTGTGTCCCGCTCACTCCCTTTGGGGTCTGTTTTCTCCTCTTTTTGCTCTTAGTGGTTTTTAGACTCAGGCTCTCTCTTCCCTCCAGTCAAAAATCTAGGACAAGAACCTAATAAATCATTCCACTGAATATTAAATTACTCGGGCTGTTTCTTGTCCTGGAGGGATTGCCTTTTAACTGAAAATAAAGCTTTAATCCTAAGTAACCTGCAATGGTACTTGTAACAGAGAAGGCGTTCCTGGTCTTTAGGAAGCCCTATTACACAGGCAGCTTCTGCTCTCTCTGCTGAGAAGGCCCAGGAGGCGGCTGACCAGGGAGAAGACCTTCCACTGAGTTGAGGATCTCTATGTCTCCGGGTGGCAACAACGGTTTGTCCTCAGCCACTAACCATAAGGTTGGTGATTCAAACCCACCCAGTGGTGCTGAACAAGGAAGTCCTGGCAATCTACTTCTGAAAAATCAGCCATTGAAAATCCTATGGAGCACAGTTCTGTTCTGACACATCTGGGGTTGCCATGAGTTGGAATCAACTCTATGGCAACTGGTTTTATGGGCAATGCAATGGAGTAAGTTCTATCTTATTTAAATCTTAGAGAAGACCTATGAGATACATATATTTATGTTACGTGTATTTTAGAAGGGTAGCGTGGTGGTTAAGTGCCTGGCTGCTAACTCAAAGGTCGGCAGTTCAAACCCGCCAGCTTCTCCAGGGGAGAAAGATGTGTCAGTCTGCTTCTGTAAAGATTATAGCCTTGGAAACCCTCCGGGGCACTTCTGCTCTTTCCTATGTGATTGCTATGAGTCAGAACTGACTCAACAGCAACTTTTTTTTTTTTTTAACATGTGTTTTTCAGAGAAGAAAACGAAGGTGTGTGGAGACAAGCGTATAACTCAAATCCAGGAGTTGATCCTCCCAAAAGGGGAGAAACTGCTGAAGCTTAAATGATAAATATGTTTTCAGTCAACTTTTGTGAGATAAAAATATATAGGAAAACTATAGTTTGGGAATATTTAGTAAGTTTAATGGGAATACTTGTTTAAAAAGGGATATTCAATTTACATCTCTTTATTGATGAACCTGGGGGGTTTCTGACTAGGTAGGATTCTAAAACCCTTTTCTTACTTAGATTTTCAGTACATCCCAATCGAAGTTTGGTTTAATTTCAGTTTATTGATTCTTTTGAAAGCAGACATATTGAGATAAACATCAGATTATTAGATTAATTTAGCTCATTAGATAGAGTTGCCTCAAGGGAGATGCTTTATCTTTTGTAATTCAACTGCATGGACAGAATATCACCACGATAACATAGTAACTCTTTCCGTATAACATATCATATAAAAACTCTTTCCGTAGAGTAAGCTTAACTATAGAATACCAGAAATGAGAATTAAAAGATGTAAAATAAAATCTGGATAAAGACCTTGAGGGACTGAAGTGCATGATAACTTTTTGATTAGAGACACCTGTTTCAAATGTGAGATCCTATTTTAGTTTTGCTTTAACAACTTATACTTAGATTACCTCATAGTCATTTGACAGAAATCCATAATAAAAATAAAAAATAAGTTGACTGTATGTAGACACAGCTAAATTCTTCCTGACGAGAACATATTTGTCTTTTAACAAGATGATTGCCTAAGCATGCTGTTTCTCGCCCCCACCCCATCTCTTTTTCTCTCTCTCGCCCCACACTTTCTCTCTCTCTTTTGCATCAGAAAACGTGAGTAATATAAATTAACCTCAGACAGGAGAGCCAGATAAGTGCTTCCTCATCAGGAGCTTGCTCTAATTTTTATAGTGCCACTTTTTTCTCCTGGAAGGTATCGGCACCATTTAAATGGAAATACAATGCGAGTATCAGTAACTAGGAAATTCATACCTGTGGCTCTGACTCTAAGTTGATTTTGAAAGGATGAGCTTTCCCGTCTTCAGATACCTGTGGTGACCATAAGTGAGTGTCTGCCCTGTAAATAAAACAAAGTTCTTAAACTCCAAATTCTTATGGTACCTCCAGTTTTACCATACTCTAATTTCCCCCGATGTTTGTGAAACTACCAGCAGCCTTCATTAATTGAAGCAAAAGCAGTGTTCTTTGCTCATTATTCTGTATTCTCCCAACCACTTAGTCTTATGTTTTTGGTGACCTTTCGTGAATCAAAATTGCCTGGAGGACACGGTGCAGCTTTGGAAAAAGCAGGTCTCCACTGCATATGGGAACAGTACAGAATTACCACAAGGCAAACTCCCTGGGTCTTCCTGACTTCCCCCTTATTCTACCCGGGTCACCCCAGGAGATAGTGAGTGATTTGCCAGGTGGACTTGCCACTGGCATCAAGGAAATGTGCTCTGTGTGTTCCTTCTCCTGCGTCTATTTGGAACTCGTGCCTCCTAGGGGACTACGTGCTTGGCAAGAACACAAGTTATGCACAGATAGGGAAGGAGTCAGTTTCACCCATGAAATGCCAGATTGGCTATTGATTGTGCCTTCTTGCCACAGCAGGGGAAGCTGGGATCAGCGTGAATACAAGAGCAACAGGATAAACACGCATAAACAGCCATTATCGCAGATCATTAGCTTCACGATTCGTTTTCAGATCAAGGCTCTTTTGGCAAGAGATTGGGTTCTCCTTTCTAATATTCTTTTTGGTGGGAAATGTCTCGGTATCTAACGTAGTCACATGTACATGCGCTCTCACATCTCCTTAGATTCTTCTGGGCTGAATTCTGTACAAAACAGCCAATGGCATACAGGATATTAATAACCAATTTTTAAGATGATTACATTTAGGAGAATTTCTAAATTCCATTCCATTCTCTACCACATTTAAAACAGTGGTACCACTAGCCATGCGGTGTAGTGTCTGTGTGGCCAACACCTTTAATGGCTCTATTTTCATAGTCAATTGACCAGGTTATTACAGAAAAAAATTTTTGCAGCCTTTTTCGTCATTTTGAGATTACAGAGAGTTCCTTTCAGAAATAGTTTCTCAACAGCCACCAGCCTGACGACTGCAGTGAAGAGCAGACCAAAGTGGCTGATGCATGAAAAAGTCAGTCAAAATTCTAGGTCTCGTGACATTCCAACACACTGGGAAGATGAACCCATTTATAGCTCTGGTTCAGGTTCTCCTTCAAAACAGATAACATTTCAAGCCATTAATTAAGGAGCACCTGTCAATTTTGAGACACAGCTGGTGGGCTGCTGCTTTAATCCTGTCCTGTGCGTCAGCGTGAGTCATGGACTCGGTGCCGAAGCCGTCAATGGCCAGGATGACATCTCCAGGACACAGGTTGGCAACTGCCGCCTTGCTTCCTGGAGTAATCTGGAAGAAACAATGGCGACACTTAAAAACCAACACGCTTCAGTCTCTAGAGTTTTGTGCTGACGTTTGTATTTCAGCCTGTAATGCGTTTACTGTTTCACTGGGCGTGAAATCGTAAATCTAACTTAGAATAGCTCTCAATGGATCAGTTGTGTTTAGCTCTATTTTCCCATCAGATTAAATGATTTTGTTTATTGCTAACCACGTTTGTTCTATCACAGCTTCAGTCTCTCTTCATAAAACACCTTCTGTAACTCCGTGTCCAAATCATATTTTCTTTGTTTAAAGTCAACTAATTTTTTTGTTTTTTAAATTCAGGAATACAGCTTTACTACATTTAAGGAACTACTGTATTTGAATTGAAACTACTTTAGCATCCTTATAATTTTTCATCTTTACAATTCCCATGGGGGCCACCTAGGATGTAGAAAGCTGGAAAGAGCATCACTTTTGCACTAACAAGAAGAAAGTGAAACTATTATACCTTTTCTTGATCTCTTCAGAGAACTCAGAGCAACCAGTTAGCCTGAAATCTAAGGAAAGATAGATGCCTCCAAGGACAAGACCTGAGCACGGGCTCACCTATATCAGAGCACAGTAGGAAGATGGGGCCACCATACTATCTGTTAAGAAGAATTCAGCTAAAATTATTGATGACTTGCTAGGCCAAGTGTGAATTAGCATGAGAGTATAGAACCCTCGGGAACCACAGACACAGGAAACTTTGCATTCACTTGTAGTCACTTCTCCATGATTGAAGAACAGATGGAACAAATAGAAAACAACCAGCAAGGTGGTAGATTTTAATAAAACCGTATCGGTAATTGCATTAAGTATAAATCGTCTAAACACATAAATTAAAGTACAGATATTGTCTAAAGCAAAATGCAATTATATGCTGTCTACAAGAAACTCATATTTTCTGTGGGAGTGGGGAGGAGATAATAGGAATATTTAAGGATGTGGGGAAAATGTGGTTGCTAAATGTTTAAAATAGGAAATTTGAAATTATTACTAGGTTGGGTATTCAGTTAAAGGCGATGATTCTTTTGATTATTATGTTGCTGTGTGCCGTCGAGTCGATTCTGACTCAGAGCTACCCCGTTAGACAGAGTAGAACTGCCCCACAGGGTTTCCTAGGCTGTGATATTTACGGGAGCAGATCACCAGGTCTTTTCTCCCAAGGAGCCTACTCCCCAATTTTCTGGGTATATCCCAACTACTTACCTAATAGGCCTCACATGGTCTGGCCCTGCCTACAACTCTGACATAAAATTACGCCACCCCTTCTGCCCCCTTTCCCTGCGCTCCAGCCATTATGATTTCCTTTTAAATCCTCAGTAGGCCCAGCTTGTCTGCTCTTTGGGGGCTATGTGCAGTGTTTTTTTTCAGCCTCTACACTTTCCTGGTTACTTCCCTCCACTCTCCACCTGGTTTCTCCCTCTCATGCTCTAGGTTGAACATCACATTCTCAGGAGACTTCCTTGACCATCAGAAGTAGCTTCTCCAGTCCCTACCCCATCATTCCCCACCATTACAGCCTGCTCATTTCCTTTATGGAATTAACCACAATTTATACTGTTATGTTTGTTTACCTACTCGTGTATTGTCTGCTTCCTCAGTTAGACTTGTAATGCTTCACAGTGTGTGCACCAGTGTTTAGAATCAGTCAATAATTGATTGAAAAAGAATGAAAAGGCCATTTAAACCAGAGTCTATAAAACAGAAAGAGCTAGTTCCTACATACCAAAAGATTATGGCCATTAATGTCAACCTATTATTTTATGTTTGGAAATTCCCACTGTTTAGAGCAGAATGATATATAGGACTTGACTTAAACCCCAAACCGTTCCAGTAATAACCTAGATTATTCCCCATGTTTTATTTGTTTGTTCTAGATGTCTATCCTATTTAACTTTGTGGCTCTAAGAGATATCCAAGTTTCATCTAAATAAATGAAATTGTTGAAATAATAAATTCTCATGAGTCGTGGATCTTCAGCCTCATCACTAAAATACTTACTGTACTTTTCTTACTTTTCTCATCTCACTGTAATGATCGTGATCATTTTTCCAGCAGGAACAATTGATAGAAGCTGGGTAAACACAATTGGGGTTATCACATCTAAGCCTTTGGGAAACATTTTATAGTGTTTTCCATTTGAAATATTCTCCCAGACCCAGAACTGTTAGAAGAACAAAAGTTTCCGTCCCAAATGTGACGTGTAGGGAATAATCTGAAACTTTTAATTTTCTCTAGCTATAGTTTGTCAAAATTAGTGCTTTCTATTTTGAAACTTCTAAGACCAGAATGCTTTTCTTTGAGTTGAAACATGAGAAAACATGGCTCAATGTGTTAGCTAAAGCATATTTTCTAATATACTTAAGTAGATTTTAGCTATATTACACTCAATCCTGATTTAGAAAAGCCTAACATTATTTTGGAAAACCTGGTGGGTAGTGGTTAAGAGCTATGGCTGCTAACCAAAAGGTCAGAAGTTCAAATCCACCAGGCGCTCCTTGGAAACCCTATGGGGAAGTTCTACTCTGTCCTATTGGGTCACTATGAGTCAGAATCAGCTTGCCGGCAGTAGGTTTTAACATTATTTTTTAGCTCTGGTTAGGATGAGTGGAGGGTAGGATTGTGTGTGTATATGTCTATACAAATTTTAAACAGAGGCATCTGGTGTTCTTAACTTAGACATTGAACATTACTAAATTTTATGAACAGTATTAATACTAAAATTAATGATACCATCTTACATTTATGCAAAGTATTACATTTGCAAAACTCTCACACTGTTGACCATCACAAAACCTCTCTAAGACAGGCTGAACAAGGAAGACTGTCTGTTTACAGAGGCGAGAGGAGTCTAAGTAACTGACTTCTCGCTAAGCTGGGAACAGCTGTGGGGCAATGTCATCAGCAGTGTCAGACGACAAATAAAGAACGTGGTTGATGATGATGGCCAGAACCTGCTTTTGACTCTGAGTTCAACCTGGCAGTTGCTATCCTGAGCCTCCAAGAAGGAAGTTGATGTGCAAAAAAAAAAAAAAGGTGTAGAGAGTGGGATCAGGGAGAAGGAGAAAACCTGGTCCCTTCACCTCTTCCTAGTTCTCAAGTTCAGCTGACCTAGTGATCAGAAAATGGCTGCTACACTGGCCCAGTAATTTAAACTCTGTTTAATCACAAAAATATATTATTTCTTCATTAATGAATTATTTTATATTATTGGTCACAGTTTATTGTTAATATGTTTTCCAAATAATAAGACAGCTAAAGTGAGGCATAGATTTTTTTCCATGAATTGTTTATTATTCAAGTTCATAAGGGTATTGAATATAAAAAGTACTAGAGAGATAACTGGAAATAATACTTCAGTTAATCACTTGGCCCCATGTTCTCCACCTGCCTGATCATAAGGATCAACTGGAGTCCTTGTTGAAGGTAAGAGTTCTCAGGTTCCACTCGATGCCCAGAATCAGAATCTCTAGGAGAGGAGCGAGAGAATTTATGTTTTTAACAGGTACCTCAGATGATCCCTTGGAGGCCTGGTGGTGCAGTGGTTAAGAGCTCGGCTGCTAACCAAAAGGTTGGCAGTTGGAATCCACCAGCCACTCCTTGGAAACCTAGGGAGCGGCTCTACTGTGTTCTATAGGATCACTATGAGTCAGAATCGACTGGACTGCAACAGGTTAAAATGATTCTTATTATTCACACCAACCTATTATGTGGGCCTATGGTGGGGGAAACTGATTTGAAAACACAGAAAAAGCATCTCTAATGTCCCTCTTACTGTGGGAGACATAAGGGAAGTCCAAATATGAGCCTGACACAATTTCTATGTTAAGACTAAAAATGCTTGAAACAGGTGTGGAGCAAGACAAGCAAATACTGAAGGGCTGCTCTGTGAGGCGTGGATCCCAATGGTGAGAAACCCCATCTTCTGATGCCCTCCATTGCCCAAAAAATGAACTGTAAATACCTACCCTGGCAGCTAACTCTTTCCAGCAGCTGGCTACCATCTACATTTCTAGACCGGTTAAAGCAGAATCTCTGCAAGTACGCCTGGGCATGGGTATGTTCAAAAGTTGTCTGAGTGATTCTAATATGCAGCCAGGGTTAGGAACTATTATTGAATTGTTGTTATTGTATTATTATCCTGAACTATCATCTCACTTGGAGCTCTGGTGGCGCAGGGGTTAAGAGTTCAGTGGCTAATCGAAAGCTCGGCAGTTCAAATCCACCAGCTGCTCCTTGGAAACCCTATGGGGCAATTCTACTCTGTCCTGTAGGGTTGCTATGAGTCGGAGTCGACTTGACGGCAACGGGTTTGGGTTTTGGTTTATCATCTCAATTATCAAGACAATCTTACAAAATAGTTATCTCTGTCTTAAGGTGAGAAAATTGATGCTCAGGGAAGTATAAGAAACTTACTTAGAGTCACATATCCAGTGAAAATATGAAATTTCTGCCTAGCTCTGTCTAACTTACAGCTTAGGCTCTTTCACTGTCCCACAATGCCTCTCCTGTAGGTAATCTCTCCCTTGACCCCTCCTACCTCTTTGGTTATATCTTTCTTGTGGAATCAAGGACAGGTTGTTTTAAACAACTGAATGGTGGTTCATGTCCCTTCTCTTCTACTAACATGAGATCCTCAGAAGCAGAGACATAGCTAAAGTTATAATTACATCACCACAGTGCCTTTCACGTAGGATGCATTCTGCTCTTAATTGATATTTGTGGGATGTGTGACTGTAATGAACATACGAACCAGTACTTCCATGTAGACACAGTCGTGAGAACAAAATTAAACAGGTTTTTATTCACATCGACCTTTTTACTACATTTGTCTTAGCTTGGAAAGGACTGCATTTAGCTATAAACACTTCTTCCTAAAATTTCAAAGGATAATATAGTTTATTTTAAAGTATTATACTTTTTTTTTTGTTAAAGTCGGAAACCCTGGTGGCGCAGTGGTTATGAGCTTGGCTGCTAAA